TCTCTCTCTCTCTCTCTCTCTCTCTCTCTCTCTCTCTCTCTCTCTCTCTCTCTCTCTCTCTCTCTCTCTCTCTCTCTCTCTCTCTCTCACAGAGCTCTCTGTACCAAGGAATTTTCCAATCCCGTCTCCTCCCCTGCCGGTTTCGACCCACCCGATCTAAGACTTGCCAAACGATTTAAATTTGTTTGGAGTCACCCAGTCTTGCCCCATGATCTTGTTTCTATGCGCACGGTCACTAATTTCGCCATTGCCGCTCTAATCGCCTATAAAAATCATCCTCTCTAATCCTCCGATCGACATCATTGTTTTTTACAAGTACCTACTCTATCTCCAGCTTTCTCAATCTCACCATTACGGCTTTCCTCGATATGTCGTTCCTGAAGATCCTCTTGTTGAGCTTCCTGATGAACTTTACAATGTTCACCCTTTTCAATGTTCTCCATCTGACTTATATTTTGTTCACACTTTTCAGTGCCCCCCGCTTCTACAGCGCCTTTCTCTCTCCATACCTCACCATCACCATTTTGAGGCGAATCATCCTGATGGCACTGCCCTATCACACAGGCCCATCTTCGTTCACCTCCACAGTTCTTGCATCACACGTTAAACTCCAAAGGAAGCCCGCTGCTGTAGCCGCGTTCTACAAGTACTGAAGTCCGTCCCACGAGGTTGGGCTGCAGCGGAAAGGCCTCTTTCATGTGGCCTTGATTGTGGGATAAAGCCAATTTGAAAGCTAAGGATGAGAAAAGCCATGACTTCAGGGGCACGCCGTGAAAACCGGGATTATAAACCCCCTAGGGTTCCAAGAGTAAATAAAACATGAAAACGAAAAACGAATCAGTCTTTAACCGCCGGTACACGGCCCCAGCCTTGCTGAAAAGAAAACTCATCGCCTACGAAAATTTCGGAGGCCCAGTGCCATAGATAAATTGAATCTGTGGAGGGCGTGCCGATAGCTGGATGTACTGGCGGTTTAAAGACGAGTAAACGATCCCGTTTTCAACAGCTCACACTGTACTATTACTCCGTTGTCCCTATTCGACCCTAAAATCGAAGTACGTACAAAGCAATCAATTGTAAGAAAGGGCAAACAAGATACCCTCCCCATGTGACACGTGACGGTCTGTCGCCCAACGAAAGTTAGAATCTCGTTGGAAGCTCGATGTAAGGTCACTCCACAGCCAAAACTGATCAAGATACGGCTTGTGGCTGCCCTTCGGGTATACCTTGTTTGCGGCCGCCAGGCTCGACTTATTGACCGAGGTTTTTGTCACTAAAGCTCGAACTGTCAACCTTCGGAAGAAGCTTTGGCTTCAGCAACAACTGCTGTACCTTGAAGTTCACCTTCCCATGCAGTCATCGATGAGGGAAAGGCCCTGTATGCAGTTTTTTCCTTTTCCAGGTGTCCTCTTGCAGCTAGCGTCTTCCACAGTCTGTATTACACGGCTGCTCCCAAGTGTCCTTATTCCCAGCCAAGGAACAGACACACTGTTCTGGGAAGCGACAAAAGAAAACTTCGTCCTTGGAAGTTTGGAGGCGTGAATCACACTGTCGTTAATCCTTCTCGCCCTACGGTCGGATAATGAAAGCTCCCTTGCTCGTTTCCAGAGGAGAGAAGTCACCAGTCCTTCTCCCTACCACCCACTACATCAGTAAAAGGCGCAATCTCACCTCTTTTTTTTTTTTTTTTTGGAAACCTCTGAAACACTAACCCTCTCTCTGTAGATCTCTCCATCTGAAGGGCCGGATAGTGCTACAAGCCGGATAGTGCTACAACCTATACATCCGTCACAAAAACAGAAAATCATCCCCATTCTCCGTGTTTACGGCGCTCTTCAGTTCCAAATGCTCCCAGTGTTCTATGTATTCGACCGTACTTATGGCTCCGAATTGTCTCCTCCAACCCTGAAAGCTACCACCATCCCTACCACAAGCTAGGACAAGTCCGCACATGTTGCTCCGTCCTGATACAGGACTGACAGCTGCATGGCACGCCATGCCACGCCTCCCCCGTGCTATGCTCGCCGGGAGCGCTTAACTGCGCGCTATGAGAAGAACCCTAAATCTGGCACTAGCTCGTCACGAGACTTGAGCGCTACAGCGCTGCCTCTCGCTTCGTCATACCGTGCATTTCACCCCACCTGTCGAAACATTTTGCTGCAGTGGGGTCTGGTTTTCTCTTTTTTGTCGCCGGGGCCTACGGTTTGGGTTTGGCGAAAGATTTTCCAAACGCAAAGTTACCGCCAGGCAGTGCAGTTCACCTCTAAAGCCTGTCCTTTTGGTTTGCCATGCATGTTTCTGCATGCCTGGACGCTGAAGGAAAAACAATGTGAAAGATAAAAAAACGGAAAACAAACGTTTATTTTTCATTTTGAAATAACGACGCCCAGGTCCAGTGTGGAGTTTTAAATTCGCAGAGATAACAGCCAACTGCAATTTGAAACGAGTGCAGTTCGAAACTGCAAAAAAACAAGTACCTTTGCAGTTGCGAGGCACAGGGCCTCGATATGCCCTACAGGGCCTATTTTCCACACAGTCGGCCGCCCTAAGTGAAGGCAGGTGCGACCGAGGCCTACAGGCCATTTTGGGGTCACCACGCAACTGGGGAAATTCAGGCAATTGCGCAGCACCAGTTGGTTGGAAGCGCCCAGGCCCAGGCTGCCTTTCATTGCATGTAACTAAGGCAGGCCCTGGGCCGGATACACAAAGTGGACCGAACAAAGGCTGAGGACAGTTGGGT